CACAAATAGAACTGCCCGGTAAACCGTAGGCAGAGAGAGAGAAGAGGACAACAAACGAGGGGCTGTGACAAACTGTTTCGTCGGAGTTTATATATGTATACATATCGTCAAACAGTATATATATACCGTTTCCTGCGTACGTACTTGCTGCATTCTGTTCATCGGTCGTAATAGCGCAGTCTGGTCGGGTGGTTTCGTCGGGATCTTCTTCCTGCAACGCCACGTGTCCCGCGCAAGAGGTTGCCACGTGCACGACATCCTTTTCCCGCTCGAACTCGCTTTCCCGTGCAAAATCGTTGTCGTCACCACTGTCATAGCTCCACTCCCACTCTTCATCGATATCCATCGGCTCGGCGCCATAGCTATCTTCTGCATCATCATTATCATAACACAACCATCATCACCATCATCATCATCATCATCATCATCATCATCATCATCATCACCGTCATTACAAACATCATCACCATCACCCCAACCATCACCATCACGACCACCAACCACATTTTCCATCCGCAAAGCATTGCCATCACGATCATCATCGTCGTCATTAGAAACATCATCAGCATCAGCATCACCCATCACCATCATCATCATCAGCCTCCCCATGATCATCAATCATCAATCATCATCATCATCATCATAATCATGACCCTCACCATGGCTGTTGTGCTCGTCTCCATCGCCAACATCATCATCATCAGCAGCAGCAGCAGCAGCAGCAGCAGCAGCATTCCCATCAAGACCATCATCATCACAACCAGCACCATCATCACCACAATGACAATGACATCAATAGATAGAACTCCTCCGTTCATGCAATAGCACATGCCAAGAACAGAGGAAAGCCTTGTGGATGGCGACGAAGTTGAACAGATACTGGTAAAAAGCACTGGCTGCAATACCACACAACACATTACCTTCAGCGGTAATAATCATAGTTCTTTGTGAGCAGTTAGTTACAAGGGCGACGAGACATTAACATGGAAGAAGGGACTTTGAGAAAAAACAAGCCGATCATGTCAACGCGATATTCTCCTGCTCCTTACTCAGTGGCCCTCGACAGCGACAAATTCCCAACTCCAGCACCAAAGCCCTTTTTCCTATCGCCTCCTCTCTCTGACGACAGCACTCTCTCTTCTCTTCTCTAGCTCCAGCGACGTCAACTGGATTAACCCATTTCAATTTTTAGTATGATGCCATAATATTCACTACCTGTCAGTCAAATTCAAATCTCCTTCCTGCGGTGAGAGAAACATCCTACTTGTTGACGACGCGCTGCGAATTGCTCATAATGGATGGACCCTCCTCCGCTGCAGGTACAGAATCTCTTATTTCAGTGCAAAGATACAACGGCGCTGAATGAGCAGACGAAGGACTGCATTGTACCTCTTTTTGTCTTTGAGGACAATTAAACATTCTCGACTGCTTTGTATTTTTTTTCATTTTTTCCCTTGAACCACCAGTACTTGGCCCAGCTATTGAAGCCAAGCCTGAATATGCCCTGCGCGCCGATTTCTGCTGAGCCTCCTCCAAAAAATCACGTTTCGTTCATTTTGAGGTACCCGTTTTTTGGCACCTCGGCCTCGTTTCCACTCCATTCCAACAGCCGCTTCACATGTCTGTTTGTACGGCCTACAGCGGCATCACTTTCGTACCTTCCTTTCTTTTTTTTCTTTTTTTTTCCTACTATGTTTGACACTATCGGGCAGGCCTCTTGCTACACTGCCACACTTGTGTGTCTGTGTGTGTGTGTGTGTGAGAGAGAGAGAGAGAGAGGGAGAGAACAGGTAAGTCTCCAACCTCGAGACTGTCCTTATGCTACTTCCATCGATAGGATGAGGAAAATTGAATGAATCTACCACTAGAACATGGAAATATACACTGCCACGCTAGTGTGCGTGTGTGCGTGCGTGTGTGTGCACACGTGCGCGCGCGCGTGCGCATGTGTGTGTGTGTGTGTGTGTGTGTGTGTGTGTGTGTGTGTGAGAGAGAGAGAGAGAGAGAGAGAGAAACATGGGTGTTGGTGAACTGATCTTTGTCGCGCCGGCGAATGCTGGATCTCTTCACGAAGAACGCAGAGACGATGTCGTCGTCAGCAGCCCGCGTCACGGACTCTCTCTCTCTCTCTCTCTCTCTCTCTCTCTCTCTCTCTCTCTCTCTCTCTCTCTCTCTCTCTCTCTCTCACACACACACACACACACACGTGTGTGGAAGTGTATGTTTCCATGTTCTAGCAGTAGATTCATTCGATTTTCCTCATGCTATCGATGGAAGTAGCATGAGGCCGGCCGCGNTCTCTCTCTCTCTCTCTCTCTCTCTCTCTCTCTCTCTCTCTCTCTCTCTCTCTCTCTCTCTCTCTCTCTCTCTCTCTCTCTCTCTCTCATTTCATGTTCGTCAACACTCAGAAGTTTTGCAACATGAAGAACAGAACCTGGCATGGTCATCAAAATGTAGTGGAAAACGCTTGCTTGCTACTGCATTTTTGAGGAGACCTCTCTCTCTTTCTCAAAGCATTTCTCGATGCTGATCCGCAGGCTCCAGCACTTGACACACACAGACGCACACACACACACACACACACGCACACACAAAGCAGCCCCCGGGGACTATCAGTGCTTTCAAGCAACTGACATGAAGACCGGCAACCAGCTTGACAAAGAAACGAAAAACACGCGAGAACGGAAGAACGGACCATTTCTATGTGCCTCGTATGCACAACGCAGATGCTCCACGCATCGACCGAAAGACAGCGCACGCCCAGATCGGAGACAACGCGCTGTCGAGGGCCCTCGTTTGCTTCCTCCGCTCGGGCATCTTTTTTGGCTCACATACAAACAAACAGACAAACAAGCCACAGCCAAACGAAAATGGGTTTCGATTCTTTTTTTTGCTTTTACAAGTACAAGTCGGAGGCGCGTTGCGCCGATGCCGCGGCAGGGCGGGCGATTTTTTTGTCAGTGTGTAAATCTTGCAAAAGCAGAACACATGAGAACACAGTGAGGTATTGATGTTGAAGGGTACATACCTGAAGAAGAGTGTGTGGCATTCATATTCATAGCAGTGAATATTGATGGTTGTCAACTTGTCATGTCACGAAAGGGTGGGTGATGGCAAGTGATCTTGCAGGACAAATGGTCCTCAAAAAGTAAAGACGGGAAACCAACACAAAAAAACGGAAAAAAAAAAAAGAAGGAAATGACATTTGCGAGGCTACGCCCGCTTAGCCCCTACGGGGCCCTATCTGCAACAAGGTCTGTCTCTTATACACATCTAGATGTGTATAAGAGACAGCACACACACACACACACACACACCGCGATACGATAGCATCATCGCCTTCACGCATCCACCTGGCAGAGAGCTTTGACCACGAAGCCAGGCGATGGCAAGACGAGGCAGGGCACGTGCAACGCCTACATCGGAACACAGGCAGCACGTTTGGTCTTTTTTTTCCCGCTTCCCAATTTTTTGTTTTTCTTGGCATTTTGTTTTACCGAACCCGCCTCCCGTACGGTTTTCCTTGTCGGTGATGTACGTTGGCCACGGCCACAGGTCCGACAGTCAGGCCAGTAGGGTTTCCGATGGCCTGAACGGCCCTGAAGTAAAAAGTCCCAATGGGCATGCGTGTTTTCACACTACCGGCCTGCCGAAGTGGCCCCGACCTGCGCAAGTGCTGGCGCATTAACGGGCAAGCCCGCGGCCGAAAGCTGGGCCAAGTACTGGTGGTTTAACAATTCGAACCATTCGCCAATTTGTGCGGGTTATGGATTATCAGGTGTGCTTCCAAAGGGATGCCCTATGGCTTGCCACATCATCATGGGACCTTTACCTACGTCTTGTCCGACATGTCATCAGCGAGAGAGAGAGAGAGAGAGAGAGAGAGAGAGAGAGAGAGAGAGAGAGAGAGAGAGAGAGAGAGAGAGAGAGAGAGAGAGAGAGAGCATGGCCGTCGGAATTGATCGATTTATTAGTAGATCGATCACAGTATTTCCTCCCAAGGTTTCAATTTCCTCCCAAGGTTTCAATTTCAGATAAGGGCGACAGCCTCAAGGTAGCATGAATCTCTCTCTCTCTCTCTCTCTCTCTCTCTCTCTCTCTCTCTCTCTCTCTCTCTCTCTC